ACGTCGCAGCAGGGGTAGAGAGCCAAGAATCGCGCTCTGAGGACGATAGGAGTGCAGCAGCGCAGCCAGCACTGACAGCGAACTCCTGGGGTGGGTCCTGGTCGCACTGGGAGGATTGGGAGGCCGCTTGCTGGGTCCTGGTCTTGTTTGGGCAACAATGCGAGCGTTGAGCAGCACATTGAGTCGCCCTGACACTGGCATAGCGTTTAGGCCTGCACTGGTCCTCAGGATGGCCTAGTCGACCGCAGAATGGGCAGGAGGTGGAGGGGCCAGCCTTGGGAAGGGAAGGGTTGCCAGAGGGAACCTTGGGGAGGGAAAACGACGCAGCAGGGGTGCGCGAAACCATGGGTGGTGGTCGATGACGTGGCAGGGGTCCGACAGGCGAAACAACGAAGCGAGGGGACAAAAACTGCGTCCAGGAGGACAGAAGGATGGAGGCAGAGTCCCAGAGCGAAAATGCGACCAGCAGGGGCTAGGAAAGCGAGCTGGGGACCAGGGAGCGGTTGGACAGGCAGGGATGGACGTCTGAGGCAGCTAGAGCGCAGGGCTCATAACCTGTTAGCTGCAGTGGGCCTCAGAGCGATCACAATGGCCTAAGTCGAGCTCTGTAAGTCTTTTTTCATTGCAAGGAAAGTGTGCTACACACCTAAGTCGAGCTCTGTAAGTCTTAAGGACTGCAGAGTCGACTCAGGCGAAGATGACGGCGCACAGAGCGCGTGGGAACTAGCTAACACGACCATACACTAAGTGGTGCTGGAATGGCGCCAAACGGACCAGAAGTGGGTAAGGTAGACACTACTCTAGAGTGCAGTCAGATCTACAGAAATGGAGACTACTAGTGAAAGAAATGTAGTATCTGTATGGAAACGAGAGTTGTGACTATACGAAAATTACCGTAGATAGCGGACAGCGCGAACTATGTATGGCGCGATGCGGGACTTGGTGCGATTAAAATCGACGGCGCTACAGCACCGACTCCAACAGCATCATCTTCAAGGAGACGATGGAGTGAACGATCAACCTTCATCATGATGATACCCTGGGCCCGTTGTACCTCAAGGTCATGCTCCTTAAGTTCTTCAGCCGTTGCAGTAGTAGCCGTAGTAGCGGGTGCCGAGTTGGTGACAGTCCAGGAACCAATCATGATGAGATAGCCCTTCATCTGCGCAGCCCAGTTGGGGTACTGGTTGATGTTGGAGAGGGAGGAGAGAGAGCTCGAGTCGACCTTGTCCGACATGATGAGGGAATGGAGTAGGAGATGACGATCAAAGAAGTCGTCTGGTTGCGATGGAGGTGGAACGCGAAAGAAAGAATCGAAGTCTTGCTCGAGATAGTGAAGAGGGATGGATACCGGGACTGGCGTTGGAGGCTCTGAGTCCAGTAGTCCAAAGGCAGCAGCGCGGATAAACGGTTCGGTTGTCTGAGGATCGGAGCAGAGGGCAAAGGGGAAGCTGACAGGAAGATCTGATGGGTTAAGTGGTCCTGAAAGACGATTGGGACAGGTCTCTTCGTCGCAAGGGTACCACCCGTCTTGTTCGCTATGATAGTCTCTTTCTTCCTCTAGCTCGAAGATATGAGGTAGTCCTCGGCAATCGAAAGGTGTTTCTTCTTCTTCAGAGGCAGGATGGTCAGGGCCAATTGCTTGCTCGACCTCCTCATCAGAAGAGATAGAAGGTTCCGCTGCTGTTGTTGGATCCAAAACAGCCAGGAGACAGGGAAACGCGATGTAAGATGGAGAGCCACGTGCGAAAGCGACGAGATATGAACACCTATTGAGGTAACCAGGAAGCAAGCAAGCTGGAGATGCCTACAACCTGGGTAGAAGTTGCCAACTGTGCCCAAGAAAAGCTAGCTAGGTACGTATGCAAAAGGCTATCGTCAGGAGGGTCCACACGGTTGTCCTCCGGTCCTAAGGTCACTAACGACCCCGGTACAAGTGCTGGCGGGCGCAAGTGCGTGGCCTGGCACAGGGATACCTGAAACCCTGTACGCCTCGAAAGCGCAATAGGGTGCTACACGATACTAGATACTAGACTACAAGCGCTCACAGGCACAACTGTGCAAAATCACCTGTTGGAGTCGGTGCTGTAGCGCCGTCGATTTTAATCGCACCAAGTCCCGCATCGCGCCATACATAGTTCGCGCTGTCCGCTATCTACGGTAATTTTCGTATAGTCACAACTCTCGTTTCCATACAGATACTACATTTCTTTCACTAGTAGTCTCCATTTCTGTAGATCTGACTGCACTCTAGAATAGTGTCTACCTTACGCACTTCTGGTCCGTTTGGCGCCATTCCAGCGCCACGTAGTGTATGGTCGTGTTAGCTAGTTCCCACGCGCTCTGTGCGCCGTCATCTGCGCCTGAGTCGACTCTGCAGTCCTTAAGACTTACAGAGCTCGACTTAGGTGTGTAGCACACTTTCCTTGCAAT